CTGTCTGTTTTTATGTTGATGTAACTCGCTGGAAAATTCTTGTCTGATCGTTCCAGACAATTGGTCCCGTTTATTTTAGTTGGTCAAAAGAGCTGGTCCAGATACTTTTATAATTACGTGGTCAGTAGCTCATATTACCAGTGTGGTAAGTGAAGACAAATTGCTGACCAATCAAAATGTCAGACTTAACTTGTTGTCATGGGGAGGCCAACCTAAGTAAATGGAGAACATTATACCCTCTCTTACGTCGTAATATGTTAATTATATAGAGAATATTAATGATGAATTGTGTGATGTGGCTTCCCCGACGGGTTCTGACATAAACAAATTACGACATGTTGGTCATTTCAGCAATGACAGTGTCGCAATCCAAACCATGAGCTTGTCTGTCATCCAACAAATTGTTACTCTATGTCCACTCTTTAAGCTGCAGTCGCATCATACGGTCACACACATAGTTGACCATAGTGTCACTACGGTCAACTTGGTTGAAGTAGGTTCAAAATTGGCAAAAGAGGAGATATAAAGAAAGTGAACTAAGTGTAAATACGTCCAACTACCTTGAACTACAAGCAAAATGGCTAGGGTTAACAAGGGTCACACTATGTCTTACTACGAGCGACTACGTTAAACTACGGTCAAGTAGGGTCAATTATGGTCAACTAGTGTCAACTATGTTTAAACTACGGTCACAGTAGGGTTTTGGCATCCAAACTCACCGTAGAGATATTTTAAACATGTTGAAAAATTTGGGGCTAACCACGGCCAAATCATTAGTTTAGTGAAGGTCAAACTACGTTTATAACTACGTTTAATACGTTTATCTAAGGTCACCTGCGGTCTACAACAGTCAACTACGGTCATCCCCCCCCTACAGTCAACACAAGCATGATCAGAAGATGTGACTGTGGCTATAGGGTCACTATAGGGTCACTCTAAACTCTGTGCTTGTCATTCGAGACCTGCTTTTTCTAGCATTCATCAGTCCTTGCCGCTAAAGAATCCATAACAGACCCTTGACCTGCCACTGAGCTGGTCTCAAGGGTTCCACCAGTGGCTGTAGTCCTTGAGTGCTGGCTCCAGTGTTGTTTATATAGTCACAGAATGACCAAGGCATGCACTCAGGATTGAAAGGTTTGACCGCTGTGATTACATGATTGTCATTGTTCAGTGTCTGTGCACTCCAGACGTAAAGGTTCTGACCGCCATAATTACATATCGCCATTGTCCTGTGTCTGTATTTCCATGAGTTATTGTCTGTTCTGTTACACAATACAGGAGTCTTTTCCAGATTTCCTATTACTTTCTGTATGCCTATGAGCATTCAACCCTTCCACCCCTTTGTAACTTTAATAGACTCTACCATGCATTAATATGGATGAGTCCATTTTGGTTGATGAACTCGATAGACAAGGGTGTAATAATTAAAAGCTGTTATTAGAGAAATAAGGATAATGGTTGTTACGGTATTTACGACATGCATTTATGGATTCTGTCTAAACAAAATGTTTTATCCATGAATATTACTTTTTTGAACATTTAAAGTAGTCACTGTAAACAAAATACCTGTTTTTAAAAAAGACAGTGTTTTATTAGTTTTATATTAAATACATCTTTCTTATATGTAATTTTGTAATCTGTTTTAGGTTTTAAAATGTAGCCTGCTTTCCCCCCCTTGAATATCAGAGTTTTGACTAATGAAAAATAAAATTAAAACAAGCAGTCTTGTAGAAGTCATGAACAAAAATCTGAATAAACATACTGATAAATGAAATGCAAGACTTTATAGAAATATTCTGATCTATTATAGGCCTCAATAGATTTCATTTAATTTGTTTTGAAATTGTCTTTTTCATGTTGGTCTAGTCACAAATATACACCAAATGGTTAAAACTGATTAAATGGCTATGCTGAAAAAGGAAGTGATTTCGTCAACCAAGCATTTAGAAATGTGTAACAATTTTCCAAATCTAATGACCTTAAATTCTCAATGTTTAAGCAACAGAAGGATGCTGTCAGAATGTGTTTAATGGCCAGTAGGGGTTATAGTGACCCCTACACTGTTACAACCCGTTACACAATCAAGCTGCTTTTATACCTCAGATCAGTACCACTAGCTGCCTCACCATGTTACCCAGTCAAGCTGCTTTTATACCTCAGATCAGTACCACTGCCTCTCCATGTTACCCAGGACGACATTATAACTGAAAGTTTAATCCTGATCATGAGGTCATTGTCCTCTCGTGGCACTAAAGTTGTTCCCCTTTAGGATTGACAAATGTCAACCTTGGTGTGCATCTTTAAATAAGGCTTAACAAAGCTGGTTTTAGGAGTTTAATTGCCTGTCATGCAGGGCTCTGTTACTGTAGTGCTGTAAAGTGCCTTGTGATTAGCTTTCGTTTTCAACATGAATACCATTTGTGGTTGGCTGTTTTTGTCACAAATTAATATGTTGCTAAAAAGACTGTTTTTTACAAGAAACTGAATCACCTGATGTCTTAAAAAACATTTTTGTCAATTCTCTCATAATTGCAATGCTGAAATTCCAGTAATTACAGTCCAGAGCGCTTACAGCTTGGAGCAATCTGGGACCTGGCCATCAGAATGGATCTGTGCAGCTAAAAGGGGACTCAACTTAGGGGGTAGTTCTACAGACAATCCTTGGGACAAACTATGTGTAATTAATTACAATATTTATAGGAAAACACATAAACTTGCAATTTTTAGCTGACCTGGCTGATGGTGCAAAAATGGCTCTACTCAATGAAGGATACATTTTTAAGTTCCTTTGACTGAACAAAAAAAATGATGTTTTCTTACGGAAGGATCTATTTTTGGCTTGCCTAGCTGAAGGTCAAATAGGCATCGTCACAGATCTTAATTTATACTCTCATTTTGTTGAAGATCAAAAGACTTTGAAAAGGATGCAATTTTGGTGTATTTACATAGCTAAAGGTCACAAAAACTTTTCAGGTAAATGCCATTTTAGCTCACCTGGCTGGTGAGTCGACTAACCTTGTGTTAATTGGCACCACATATGCCACCCATCTACTTTTATTTGAAAACAACATCTTTTCACGAGTGGCTAATCTGAGTTTGTCCCTACAAACGCAGGATTCCCTTGACTTAAAAGAATAATTATTCACTTACTCTTTTTTTAAGTTCCTGATTTTTGTTTTTAATTCAAGGATCAATTCAACATCCAAGATGGTCTCTGATACACGAGAGACATTTTGCACTGCTCCATTAGTTCAGAGACCAATACACAAATTAGCAATACAGACTCCATAGGCCTCTTGTTATAGAAATAGATGATTGCAAACCTATTCCCATGTCATGTGTTTTTATGAAACAAGCTCAAATGAGCTTTATGAAAGTCAGATATGACTGGAACCAGTCTGGTTAGCTCTTTTAATAAATGATTTACCTAGCTCTGTAAAATAACAGGTATTGATACAAAACAGAATTTATTTTAGAAAAATCCTGTCATTTTTGCCTTTCATTATATCATCACTTTGCTATTACTGGGTCATGTTACATATAAAAAGTGTTATCAACTTTAATCCCTGGGAAATTTGTTTGCTGTTTAGATCTCAGTTTGGTGGAGAAAGTTATTCTTTCAGAGTTGATATCATGCATGTGTGGGTAGACTCTTAAATACATGTAGTGTAATATGTGAGTTTAACTTGTAGAATGTTGTGTAGGAGTTGAAGAACATCAGCAAACCAATCAAAATCAAGATAAAAGAGTTTAAATTTGAACAAAGTTTAATGTATGCCATTACACTAACAAGGCATTGACAATTCAATACCTAAAGGAAATTTGCCTTGTAAAATAAACCTCAACAATCCATTTTTAGTCAAATAAATTCTCAATAAATACAGGAATCGTTATTGTGTGGCTTTTTCAGTGATGTCACCTTAGTTTAAAGCCCTTTTTTAATTACCAAAACGACAATTACTGCTATCTTTGAATCTTAAGTTCCTTCCAATTATCCGATGATTGAAGCATTATATTGGAAATTTCTGAAGCCTGGGTAGTTAGAAACAATCATGAAAGTATAATTATGCATAGTTTTACGACAATATCAATTTTGTTTCCTCGCATGTTTCTTGAAACCTTTAACAAGACATATAATCCGGACTTTGTTCGTACAGATTTCAGTTAAATTGAGTATATGTAGGCTCTCTCTTCCTCTCCGTAAATGATTTTTTTTCATATCTTCTGGAACCACATACATTTGAGTGCTTATATAGCCTGCTGACGTTTCATACGTGAGCACTTTATCATTGAATGTCAATCCAAGTACTCAAATCGTTCAACAAATCAGGAAGCTTTTGAAAAATTAGTCTTTGACAGTGATAGACTTTAATGGCTGCCTGCTCTATTGTCATTACATCAGTGCAGTCTGCTCAACAGGAAATTGTTCCATACTTTGTTCCTGTTGCATCTGATATTCTTAAAAATCTAATTTACGATCATTTTATAAACTTGATGGCCTAGTCCTCAGTAAACTGTCAGCTGAATTAAGACACCCAGCTTTAGGAGAAATGTCATCTTTTTCACTATTAGTGTCTAATTTAAAGGATTCTTGGACTTGATTACTTTTATATACAGTTATCATTCGTGAAGTATCAAAATTGCAAAATAAAGTCATTTTCACATGCAGTCTGCACAATTGTCTTCATAGCAGATTTGTCACCATACAGCCCATACAAATCTAGGAAACTCTGTATTCTTCATTTTTTTTTACCTCCAAAAATATTCAATTTCTACAAACCATAACGATTTTGGCTAGCTGAGTCCTCGTTGTGTTTCGATATCAACTACGTCTTTACTGAATATACTAACTTTTTCAAACTTTGCGTTTTTGAAAAAAGATAACCTGTATTGAATGTTCAAGTATCAAAGGACAAAAATGAAATGGGAAATATTTTACCATTTTGCTGTGGTAAATGAGATTATTTTGAATTATCTTTTTGATATTGTTCTTTTCTTAGGGTGGCCACACAACAAACTACTAGAAAAGACATTATACCTACAAGTGATAGATTACGATCGCTTTAGTCGGGACGACCCTATTGGAGAGACCTACCTCCCTCTGAATGAAGTCGACCTCTCTCAGTCACCCATGATGTGGAGGTTTCTACAGCCTTGTAAAGACAGCAGGGTAAGTCAAGGGGGCAGCAGAAAAACTAAGTCAGGGCTAAGGGAGGTAAGACAGGCCAAGGTAAGGAAGGTAAGTTAGGGGCATGACAATGGAGATAAGTCACGGGCATGACAAGGGAGATATTTCAGGGACAAGGTAAGGGAGGTAAGTCAGGGGCATTACAATGGAGATAAGTCAGGGGCATGACAAGGGAGATAAGTCATGGGCATGACAAGGGAGATATTTCAGGGACAAGGTAAGGGAGATAAGTCAAGGGCATGACAATGGAGATAAGTTATGGGAATAACAGGGGAGATAAGTCAGGGACAAGGTATTGAAGTAAAGTCAGTGGCATGACAATGGAGATAAGTCAGGGGCACGACAAGGGAGATAAGTCACGGGCATGACAAGGGAGATATTTCAGGGACAAGGTAAGGAAGGTAAGTCAGGGGCATGACAATGGATATAAGTTAGGGACATAACAAGGGAGATAAGTCAAGGACAAGGTAAGGGAGATAAGTCAGGGACATGGTTAGGAAGGTTAGTCAGTGGCATGACAACAGACATTAGTCAGAGGCATAGCAAGGGCGATAAGTCATATGAAGGATACCAGAGGCAAGCTTTGGGGGTGTCAAGGGAAGTAAAGATAGGGACATGACAAAGTTAGGGTAGTTCAATATGAAGGGAAGTAATGTAGGGTAATTTCAAGACAAGTCAAGAGAGGATTTTGATAATTGCATGGCTGGAAACTTGTTTTTTAACTGCCAAAAAATACTGCATAAGATAATATTAAAAAAGCAAGAAATAAATTAAGTAAAGTAGTGAATTATACTTCAGCCACAATAGCTATTATAAAGCAAGAAATGTCTGTATTGATTATTTTCTGAAATATCTGAACTGCTTGAATTTCTCTGCCAAGCATACATTGATCTGACATTTGTTTACACTGTTTCTGTTTGACACCCATGTATAGCAGAGTTGTCACGTTCATTTTTTAGCCTTTCCTGTTTGTTTCAAATATCCAAAGTGCATCACATTTCCTGTATAAATTTTAACATGTTTATTCCCTATTATATAATGCTGAGTATGAATGCTTCGACATAACTCAAAATCAATTTGTACAAAGTTTACACATTGACATCATATTCACGATCCTTGAAGTAAATGCATAAACCAAACCAGCAATCTTGTTGCTATTTTCATATTTTAAATGTGTTGATGTGATGATGTACTTAAACAATCCTTCAGTTATACAATAACTGTTAATGCTGACTACTAATATTTCTATTTCATTTTCGCATAAATGTCACAGTTCCACAGCTCGACAAACTTCCTTTTGGTGTCATGTTTGTTTGCACGATGACAATATATAGTCATCTAAATTATTTATTGGGGGAAAAAGTGTCTAAAATGAAATATTAGATTGTTTAATGTCATAATGTGTCTCACGCAATGAAATCAAAAATAAAACATGAGCTCACCAGGGAGTAATGATACTTGAAACATGCATGGGAGAAAAAGAAATTTAGTAGTTTAAATTTCAAAATTTTGAAATAATTTGAGATTGTGGGGGAAGGGTTGGCATATAGTATTACCCTATATCCATCACAATGTATTGTCATTATAGTAAAGGTTTCATTTCTTAACAGATTTTCATCAAAATTTATACAAAAACCAGGTATGTCAGAGTCCATACTACAATGACAAGGTCACTGTTGATATTTATAGGTCAAGCACGGGACTTGAAGGTGGCATTTGCCATGTCTTACGGACCTCTTCTAGTAAAAACTGATTCTCACTGAAAATTGCTTTGAGTATATTCTTGACAAATTGCTTAAATTTTTTTAGAACTTGTTTATAAGATTTTTAAACTGTGTTTTACAGGGAAAACTTGGGGAAATCCTGTTATCCCTGTGTTACCAGCCTGCTGTTGGACGCCTCACTGTGATAGTAATGAAAGCTAAGGACCTCAAAGCCAAAGACATTACCGGTGCATCAGGTAGGTTTACATCTCCGGTCGCTATTTTGAATAGGTTGAATTATGGAATTATTGGAAACATATTTGTCGTCATCTGATGAACTGCAATGGAAAATTTATTGAAGCCATCTGAAAGAATGAACTGGAGGATTTTTAGCAACGTAATTTTTAAATCACTGAAAGTCACCATCTTCAAGTGTGGATAGTAGGAATACCGTAAAAACCCATGTAATTTGCGCACCTGTGTAATTTGCGCACCTGTGTAATTTGCGCAGGTACTTTTTGAGCTGAAAATCGGGAAAAAAACTTCTACTCAAATATTTTGCGCACCCAAAAAATCTGGAAAAAATACGATGTTCATGCTCCGAAAATCGATCTCTGAATATTTTTTTTTTAAATATATTTCGATGATTTTTTTTTCATTGATGTAAAAGGATATTTAAAACCAAGAAGAAACTACGTAAAATGTGTATTTTGTTGCTTGTTTTCTTTGAATTATCTGATCACACATGACACACACGTGTGCGCATATCGGCATACATCAATTCATTTTAGCAATATTTTACATAAAACATTTACTTGCTTACAAAAACATATCAATTAATAAGTAATTCGATGTTTAGTAACCGCTGGTGCATATCTCCTGGTGAAAGACATAATTAGATACCTTTTATTGA